TTCCCTACAATATAAATACATTTTAAGGTCAGTTTTCACTCAGTAAGTAGGAATTAAGTCTTGTTAATTAAAATAGAATACTTAGAGTATTATCTTAATGCATGAACCAATTATGCTCATTTATGAACTTATCTTATTAATTTTTTGGGTCTGAGTGTTCGTATCGAAAAATGTGTACACGATCAGCGGATAGAAATGGTTTGCAAAGTCCCTAACTACACCATGACCCTAATTGAAAATTTTACCTCCTTAGGTACTAAATGATTGCCTCCTCATGCCTTAAATCCATCTTGTAAGTCGAGTGGTTAGTACGACACTCTTAAATATTTTTATTAGTCATATTGGTTTTACTAGTGAGCATGCAATATGTCATGGCATAGTATACTATAACTTTAAGCATAAGTATGTACATAAAACATGTATAACATTCTGTTTTAAAACTTATTCATATTGTAAGCAAGATTCTCACTTATCTGCTATCAGCCAAGGTCTAGACTATATTACTCGTCGAGGTTAACCTCTACTGTTGTGTTTTAATTAAAGTGGACTGAGATTTTTAACCAAAAACAGAAACTTGTCAACTTAATTTTTTTGCATCTTTTAACCTTTTAAAATTAACATGCAAAGCTTAGATCTTGTTCTAAATACACAAAACAACAACCTTAGACCATGAAATACAAATTCAAAAACATAGATCTAACAATAAAACCTCTTGCATGTGAAGATCTAACCTTTTAACACACATATAAATAATAAAAATACAAACTTTAGAACCACATCAAACTTTGTTCTTAAAGTTGAAATGATCTTGATAAGGTTTAAAGAATCTTACCACAAACCTTAAGAGAGGAATGGTTTTGACCACTGAAGAGAGAAATTCCTACAAAGATTTAAACTTTTAAGAAAAAGTTAGAAATTTAAACAAAGAAAATCAAAGAATAAAAGTTTTGATCTTTACGCTTAAAAGTGTTAGGAAAATCCACACAGCTCTTTCTCCTTCTTCTTGATTATGGTTTGAAGATCTCTTAGTAATTGAGAGAAAGAAGAGGGCTGAGTGGTTTGGCCAAGAGAGGAAAAAAGAGAGAAAAAGTGTAGGAAATTTTGAGAGTAAAATGGTAAAAAGGTGAGCTTAACTTTAAATGGTGGTATATATAGACAATTAATTAATTACACTTAATTATAATTCTTAAGCTTCTTAGACTCACTAATTGGACTAAAAAAATTGATTAATCAAGCTAATAGTGGGCTGCCCATGGTTAAAGAGAAAAGGAGAGAGCAATATTCTTAATCATGACTTGTATTACTTTTTAACACAAAGTCAAATCTACTCTCTTCTTTGTCTCCCACTAAAGTATTCCTTTAATAGATTAAACTTGTACTGACAGTAATTTCTAGATCAATTTTTCAGACATGTTTTCGACAGTTTTCAATCCACTATTTAAAACTACGGTCTAACACTATTCTCGGAAGGAACCGGTATTGTTTAAGATTTTAAATCGTGTAATTAATTCGGACTGACTCAAAACTTTTAATATTTGTTTTAGAAAAAAATTAAAATTTGAGTTTAACATACTTGACTTAAATTCTCTGTCAAACGTAATAATTGACAATGTCGATTTCCGAGCCCGGCTTTACAATTTTACTAAAAACGCGACTCGCATCACCAATTTTACTAATTCACAATGAAGGATTTCTTTAATTATTAGAATTCTTTTTAGAGAACTGCTAACACTGTACGGTGCTCAAAAAATTTTATGAATGGAATTACGAGTCAGAGTCAGATCGAAATTTATCCCGTCTTAAATCGCGGTTAGAATTATCGACCGAGTCATAAGGTAAAATTTTTAACATATAATTTTTTATAGAATTTTAGAATAATATTATTAATTTCATAAATCTTTTATTACAAAACATGTCATTATCTAAAAAATTCATAATTTAATTACGTAAATTTCACTAATTAACATTAAGAGTTTCTTAGTCGTTACAAAAAATACGAATGTTATCTCTATTTTTATGAACGAACGACTTTATAATTTCTGTGTAATGTTGAAAATTGTTTGTTGTCGCTTGTTCTCCTGTCATCATGTCACTAACTTCGTTGACCTTCTGGCACTGGGCAGGCGTCAAATTGCATGGTCTGCTATTTAATCCGTAGGCCTTATAATAGGGAAGTTCAAAGCCACCTTAAGGAGTTTATGGAAGAGCATGAAAATGATTACAAATTTTAAAAGTTGATTTGGATGTGTATTTGTCCTCCTCCCTTGAGAGGGAAATGTTTTGACTTATAATAATTAACTAACTTCAAATAATATTATTAAAATTATTATGTAATACGTTTACAGAGCTATTATACTCTACAAGTCTAAAACACAGAGAGTAATATGTTTAAATTTGATATTCATTAATTTTGTTTTTCATACTCTAATTGAGTTTTATATGAATTCAAATTGTCATGTTTCTTTCGCACTTGGACTGGTTCTTCTTTATATGCACAACGTTATGTAAACACAGTACCTTTCAACTTTTCATTTACCAAAAGAAAAATAAAAGCACCATTTCTTAATGAACAAAAACATCGTTTTAACATTCAAATTATTGTTGCTGTATATAATAAAACTTTTAATAATAGTATTTAAGATAAATTAATTAATATAAGGGATATATGTAGAGTATTTATGATGCATTTATCTAAATAATTAATGCAATACATACTAAGAAAGAGAAATACAATAATACAAAAGTTGACATAAACAAACTTTTTAAATATTAAGTTTTTATTAAATGAGTGTACCACGTAAACATAATAACGTAGTACACACGGTGCATTAAATAATTCTTCCAAATGAATTATGCTACGCCAATGATGCCTTCAAAGATGTTCAAAGCGGTCAAGTGGGAAAGAAAGTGAAATTTTTCCCAAATTCCAATTAACTAAACCGTTAATTTATTTCAAGAAGATTAGTTTAGTCTTTTCACAAATAAAACGGTGCCCGAAAAAATAGGTTAAAGGGGTAAAAATGAAAAGTGAAAATTAACTTGGACGAAAAAGATATTTTTAGTAATTTTCTAAATTAAAAAAATATATTCATTTAATCATTTGCCTTTCCATAAGCGATCTTGCTTGATCCCACAAACTGGCATCATGTCAACGGGTTATTTACAGAAACGTCAATTTTGAGCACTAAAGTCTACATATTTATTGATCTACAAAACTATCCACTAGCATACATATAAAGACGCTTATATCCTTATATAATGAAAAAGGAAAAAAAAAATAAAAGATCAAAATAGAAAATTCTTCAAAATGAAATCATAATTTAATTTTGAATACAAAAGTCAAATGAAACTTAAATATTACATCTAATGCCTATTTAAATAGAGATAAAGTTTCTTTAAAAAAAATAATAAAAACATCACATAATTTTTTAAAGTATATATATATTGAAAAATGTGTTCAATTTAAACACAAAACACACTTTTTGATTTTTTTTAATAAAAAAAACACTAACCAGCACCTCCATAAAATGACATCTTTCCACAAGCCCCTCCACCATATACAAATGAATATGCATTTCATTAAGATAATAATAATATCGTTATGAAATAGAACTTGTCAAACCTAAGAAACACGAAAATGTATCAAGAATGAGCATTTCATTATTTTAATAAAGATATTATGAAATAGACTGAAGATAAAAATTTACAAGAAATCTGAAACGACAATAATACATGAAGGATGAACTCATAAAGAAAGATTTTTTATTATTATAATGACGATATCATTACAAACAATAATGAATATAATACGCAACAAAATAACAATCATCTAGCGAGTTTTTAAAATATAGAAGATTAGAAACGTGGTAAATTAATCTTCATTATCAAAATGAATATAATACCAAACAATACGATAATATACAAATGAGTATGCATTTTTATTAATATAATGATAATATCATTATGAAATATAACTTGTAATACATTAGAAATATGAAAATGTACTCAATAATAAGCATTTCATTATTTTAATAGAGATATTATTATGAAACAGATTAACTATAAAAAATTTGTACAAAAATTTGAAACAATATAAATACACGGTACATGAACACAAAAAAAAAAGACATTTCATGATTGTAAGAAATAAAATAAAGCTCAATTTCATTATTTTGAAATAGCTACTATCATATTTCTAAGAGATAAAATAAAGCTCAATTTCATTAATTCACACATTCACTATTCGAATGATAATTACATAATTAACCAGAATGAAATAAAATAATGCACACAAACTGTAATGTGATAATAAGTATGAAAAAGAATATAAAATTTATATACAGAAAAAAAAAACAATAATGTAAAGAAAGATCATGTGTGTAATAATCATAATATCATTACGAAGAAGAATAAACAGATTTTACTTTCCTATCATTATGAAAAAGAAACCCAAGAAAAAAAAAACAGGAATCACGAAGAACCAAAGAAAACAAAGAGAAATCACCAACGTTGATTCAAAACAAGAAATCAATAGAGAAAAAATGATGCAAAAAAAAAAAAAAAATCACCATAGATTGAAGAAAATGAGTGGAAGAAAAGAGTGAAAAAATATGATGTTGTTTCATAAAAGCTATGTGAAATGTTTTTTCCCAAGAAAAAAGGCTTCATGAAGAAGACTACGATGTGGAACTCTGGAAGATCATGGAAGTTGTTCTTTTTTTCTTTTTTTGGCTGAATATGATCTTTAAGACTCAATAAAGGAAAACAATAATAAACAATAATAAAGGAATTTCTCAGAGAATAGATGGATGCAGAGGAAACGAGAGAGAAAACTAAAACAAGAAAAAAAAAAAAATCCTATTAACATTAAGTGAAATAATTGATTACTTATGACTCGTCATTTAGAAAAGAGAAAAAAAAAAAAAAAAAAAAAAAAAAAAAAACCGACAAAATATAAAAATTAACCATATAAGGAACGTGCTCAAAATAAACTGGAAGGGCATACTTGATATTATATGTGCCATATTAAGCACAATTAAATATTTTGTAGTCTTGTATAATAATAGACATTTTTAAATTCAGGGCTTTCAAGACATTTTATGTAATAACAAAACCAGCTTCAAAAAATAATAATAATAACTAAACCAAAAAGCCCTGCCTTAAGAGAACAACAAATTAATTTGGGTGACTACCCAGTCAACCTCATGTTCACCGTTAAAAACTCAGAACAGATACAAATACAATTACACTAGTAAATTTCATACACGGACCTGTTCTAGCTTTAACAGGAGGATTGAAGATAAATAGGAAAAAGTACAACTTGAAAAGAGAGAAGAATTCATACACATGGGGAAAGAGAACAGCCATATTCCCAGTTTTTCTTATCCCCGCAATTCAAACGAAAGTAATCCCTCCATATGTGAGAAATTAAATCCTTTTAGCTTATTGTTGTTGTTTTCTAATGTCTCCTAAATTTTATGTACCTAAGAAACTTTTCCCGTATCCCCCTCCTTTCACAACAATATCTCATCTTGAACCACCATTTAACTCTCTTCGTCTTCTCCGACGACCAGAGCGTCCCATTAACACCCTACCATGTCGGCGGAGGCGGCTGGCCAATGACATATCACCTCCGCCATCATCATCGTCATCATGACTGTCATTATCATCATCTTGATCGGAGGACTCTGCACCACCTACAGGAGTTGTGTGCCGAATTCCACCAGCACTACCATTCGTTGTCTGGCGGAAAGGCATTGCTGGCTGAGGCAGCCTTCTATTGAGTTCATCTCCCCCTGATGGCCCAAAAGCGTGCAGTAAGAGAAAGACATTCACTAAATTACTATCAAAACCCATCTCAAACCCCCCGTTTCTTTCTCCAGCACCTGCATCCGTACCACCCTCATCATCTGAAATGAATCCGTAATAATTATTTCCTTCTATTACGTAATCTCCGAAAAACATTGCCCCCGGCATGGTTGATGTTATAGTGCTGATTACGTCATTCCTCTCACGCTCCCGTTCAAGCCTTCTCCACTTCTGCTCGACAGCAGGATCCACTTCACGTGGTCGTGCAGAGGGGTGCTCTGCTCTAACGTGCTTCCTGAGCTCCTTATAGTTTCCAATGAACGAGCAATCATCATGGACGCAGCTTCTCTTTTTGGCATTCAGATATTCTCGGGCAGGATCGACCACAGTCCATCCCTTCACTTGGCCCCTACATAGGGGGCAAGCAAGCTCTGTGACTTCAGTGTTCTCAACAGCCGAGCTGGAATCTTGTATTACAATGGGATTATCAGCAGAGCCATGCAAGCTTTGTCCGTGATTGGTTGAAACTACTTTAGTGTAAGCTTTCTTGTATTGGTCAAGACAGTTGGAATGACGGAAGCTAGTCCCACACATGTAAGGTCTGCAGCCGTTGTCATGAGAAGAACACAGGAGAAGGACAGCATTGTGAGGGTACTCCATGCATACGGAACATGTTACATCTTCCCAGTCTTTATTGTCCCAAGTTTTGGAGCATTTCTTTGGGCGCAAATCTTCCATAATATCCTGATCAAAGCGCAATGGGTATGGAGCTGATCTGTAGTGTCGCGAAGTGAGCCTTTGACGTCCCCTGCCACCTTTCGCCATTTCCAAATGAATCCTGAAATTATATTGCAACGTTTATTAGGACTAAGATTAATTAGTTGCAGGGACAGACACAGACCTGTCAAATCATAAGCAATATCAAAAATGTTTTTTAACACGACTGGATTTTATCCCAGTTACGCACAGGGGTTGAGCCCTACTAGGGATAAAACCCCGATGGAATTTACAAAACTGCTCACTATATATATATGGTGCAGGAGTTTCCCAGATATCCATAACACATAGCAAATTGATCTGGAAATTATTGAATCCAAGGCCTCTGCTTCAATTATCAATCTCCCAACACTAACAGGGTCAAGAGCAGTTTTTTCCCCCATTAATTAGAGCAGAATATCTGAGGAATGTACGTTTAGTAGCAATAAAGAAGGATAACCACAACAAACAAATGCTCTGACAATTTACAAAACTTAGCACTTAAAAGCAAGCAGAATGTACATCAAATATTTAGAAAAAATAAAAATAAAAACAGAGAAAAAAAAAGGAGCAAGCAGAATGTATCCATGGCAGAGATCCCAGGCAGAAAGAGACAACGCTGAAATTTTGTTAGAGATACTTGGGAAAAAGATATAGAACCAAGCACTACACACAACTCCTCCTTCAGTCACTTTTGCTCCATTTCCTAAAATACAGGGTTCTCTATTGAGCAATCCGGACTGATTCTAGACAAGTTTGTGTTAGTTTCGCAAACTTTACTAACTTCTAAAGCTTCATAACAAAAGGATTTAAAGTTCCCTTCAATTACCAAAGCCCTTGTAACCAAGAAAACAACAGCAACAAGCTCTAAGGCAATTGTCACACTTATCACGGGAGCAAAATACATCACCTGCCAGTTGCCAAAGAGTCCAATGAAAGCGGATTTCTAGATAATTTTTATCCTTCTAAAGTACCAAAGATAAAATAGCAATTCATATTTTTATATATGCCAATGTAGGACTAATAGCCTTTATCCCACTTTGTGTCTGCCACCTAAGAGTCTCAGCCTGTAAACATGGGACCAACCCAGACTTTTAACTTTTGAGGACATATCTTCCAATATAACCTGCATTGCTTCTCGAACAAAGAACAATTCTTTCCTTCTTTTCTTGTTGCAACTACTTGCCACTCCTCATTGAAAATCAAGATAAGGTTTATGAATAAAAAACAAAGCAATGCAAACGATAAGAAATTACTTGGGAAAACTCAAGTCTGAGGCCACTACATGAAAAATTCAAAAAAAACTAGAAACAAATGGGCAAAGAAAGAGTGATCTTGTGAAGAAGAAGATATAGATGTCCAATGACAAATAGAACCCTTCTATTCAGAAACCCTTTATTTGGGAAATGCCGCAAAATTCAGACGACCAATCCAGAAATTCACAATGGAGCAGCAATTCCAAAAAATGGAATGAATAAGCACATTTACAATTTCCTTATATATCATCATTGGTTACATACAATACACGACAATTCAAATTCAGTCGCCAAGAGAAATTAACTTTTGCAGACAGAACTAAAAACTTAAAATCAATAAAAAGAACAATTGTGCCCCCTCCAAACTTACCTGACCACATCCAATGAACATATGCCTTCATATAGCTCAAGAAATATGGCAACAACAATTTAGGCTCATTGAGACTATCCAGAAAGGATTGTGTTCCCATCACCACAAAAAACAGAGGCAACCTTGGCCAAAATATAGAAAATCACGAAATAAGGTTGGTAGCCTAGTGACTCAAATAATGGGCCAACTGCTAAACTCTGCAAGTAGCAAGAAGAGTACCCCAAGAAATAGCAAAGGCTCAAACGAATTCTCCTACGATTAATACCTTAGCAAAGGCCAAAAAAAATTTGAAGCCCCTAAGTTCCCAAAAGTAACAATAATAATCAATGCTGTCTAAAACTTGGAATAACATCTATGAGATTCAAATGAAAAAGTTTTGATTTTTGAACATCAAAGCAAGAGAATAAAAATAGGATAATCCAAATGCCTAATCTGTTGGTATAAATCAAATTTAGTCTATAAGAGATCTCAAAAGATTCAAAAGAGCAAAAAAGTCACAACGCTAATCCATGCTAACTGTTCTAAAGATGGTACTGTTCTCATAAAATTGGACAATGTACGTAATCAATGGTCCAATCTAAGTTTGAACTTTTGAGTTAACTGACAACTCAACTTCAATAAATATCAGCAAATTCGTCCGTCTAATCAAATGCAATTGTCTGAAATCTAAACAGAAAATCCGTCCCTAATCTCCCAAGTAAAAACACTTAATGAACTCTGGTAAGACTCTGCAAATATAAGTTTGCACAATACTTGCACTATACACTGAACCCATTTACTTTGATTTTTGTTCTAGCAGATTACTGTAACTCCACAATCATGCTTCATTTCTATCCTATGGTAGCATTTATATAAACCGAAAATTCATCACCCAATTTGTCACAAGTCTAATTATCCTTTTTTCTGAAATTTGTAAGAAAATTTACACAATTAAAATCAGATTTAAAATGATGTAAAGCCTTGAGCAAATACAGAAAGGAGAGAAATACGTGCACTTTATTGAATTATCAAATAGCTAAATGTCCCATGATTGCAAATCCAATTACTTCCGCAAATCAATGGATTGTACCAAAGAAACCATCAAAGAAGACGGCACGAAAACACGAAATTGAAAGAGAAAAGGAACATTAACAAGTCGCTAGACTTTGCTAAACACAAATGATCAAAAATTACTACACAAAATTCATATAAAAGGGAACATCTTCAGCAAGATAAGCGCATTGGAGCTGCCAAAAACGACTCGAACCGATCGAAAACATAATTCATTCCATCAATAATCATTAGAACAGTAAAACAGATAACATAATTAAGGGCGATCCAAGAATCAAATCGAAATTGAAACCCAAAAAAATGCCAACCTGTCTCGTAGTCTGCGCGAATCTGGATCAGAAATAAGTTAGCTGGAGAAACCAAAGTACATCTGAGATGAAATCCACAAAAACATGCATACCCAGTCAGAGACTTATATATATACTTTGACAAAAGGAAATGAAGGAATCACGCGAGACGACAGTAAATCAATTAATTTAATAATAATAATAATGAAACGTGAAGCTACGCATCGCACATGGCCTTGGCCTTTCTACGCAACGACGGATCCAGAAATCTTTACTATTCAGCTTTAAAAACTAATATAAAAAGATAACATTTGTAATTATAATATGTATATTTAGTGGAAAAAGAAAATTCCGGATAATGATACTATGTATTGAAAAACATAAAAAATTTAGAGACTCAACCAATAAAGTTCGCGATTGAGAATATTGTTTACCAAATTCCCAAGCTATTGAGAGGTGAAACAGGAAAAAAGGCGACGGAATAAATTCCAACACAATCACTTTTTTGCTTTTCCCATCGATTTTCTCGGGAATCAAACAGTACGGCGACGGAAATTAACAAAATGACCCCGCAAAATTTGAAAAAAAAAAAAAAAAAAAAACCTTGTTTCAAAAGACAAAGTCAGAGAGAACTGAGGGTTTTTACATTCACAATAAAACTGAAAGTTTGAGCAACGAGATCGCAGAGGACGAAATTCAGGGCAATTGTTTCGATTCTCCTCGTGTTCGTCAAAGTTTAGAGAGAGAAAGAGATGATAGAGAGAGAGGGGTGAGGGGAAGGAGAGAGAAATTTACCTTCAGAAGGAGGAAATCGTTAAAAATAGGGAATTTTGGGGGGTTAGCTCCTTATTTCTAATCTAATAACCTCCTCTTCTCGTTTGACGATTTTGGACAGAGAGAGAGGGAAAGACGAAAGAGAGAGACAGAGGGAGATCAAAAACGTGGGGCCACAAAATTCTGAACTGGGATACTTCACGCGCTGGACGGGGGCGTGGTGAAGACGCGCCGTGTCGCTTGGTAACAACTCATGTGCCGTCGTGTCACGTCTTCTGGCGTTTTGGTTTGGTAAGTTTTTCAAAAGTTGATGGCCGTGATCCCGTTTTTACTTTTTTACGTTTTTTAAGAAAAAAAATAAAAATATTTTTAAAATAGTATTTTACGCAATAAAAAATAAAAATAATTTTTTAATTTAGTGTAAAATGAGAGAAAAATAAAAAATGACTTTTAGTCATTTTTTATTTTTTATTTTCGTTTTCTCCTCTCTCGAGCAGAGAAAGAGAGAGAGATATTAATGAGTTTTTTTATACTAAAAATAATCTCTTGATAAAACTATTAAACACATTTTTAAAAATGATTTATGTCTTATATTAAAAACGTTTTTATTTTCATTTTCATACAAAAAATAAAATCATTTTAGAACGAGTTCCAAACGTGCCTGATATTTTTTCATTTATTTTCTTCCACTGACATTTGATTCTTTAAGTATGTTTTTTTAATGTTATTCTTTACTATTTCTGTATTATTTACTGGCAATTTTCTTAATTTAAAAGTTGATAAAATTATATTTGTTCAAAATAACTGTTAGACAGATTGTAATATATCTCATTCAAGATCATACGTTTCAGATCAGTTTGGAGCGTCATGACTGAGTGTCGTGACTGTCTTTGGCGCTGCAGCGCACAGTTAGCAGCTCTACAACCAAAGGAGCAGCACCATTTGGTGCAGGCAGCAAGGCGTTGTGCGCAGCAATGGGCGTTGCAGAGCCTGTGTGCAGCAGTGTTACGCGCTGTAGCCGTTTCATGTTTCGGTTTGAGCATATTGTTCTGGTGTAGTGCCCGGTATTGATTTTGTACAGTTTTGACGCGTGTGATTTGAATTGTGCCGAATCATTGCAACCATTTGTGATATGTTTTCATACATTTTTTAATACCTATTAGCAATAGACATATTTGTTCATTCATGAAATGATACCTGTGTCTTTTTATTGTCTCCAAAAAATTTACAAATATCATTCATGTTCTTAAACACAATAGCATCACTAGATATTGTATTCAAGGGTTTGTTGTATCTCGGGAGTAACTTGCAATATAAACTCATTAGCAAACTTTGAGAAGTTAGTGCAATAAAACTTTAAAAGAAAGTATTCATATACGCCTCAAACCCTCTTATTTTCTACATTCTTTTCAGCCTCTACACTAAAATTCTCTAACAATCTTTAAGGTTTTAAGTTGCTGTAGTGGAGGTTGAAAAGAACATGGTGTCTTTCCTTAATCTAAATGTCCAATTTGATTGCTTTAATGGTACCAATTTCACCCACTCGAAGGGAAAGTTGTTCTTCCTTCTTACCGTGCTCAAGATCGCCTATGTACTTGATCTGAAGTTAGAGCCACTTCCGGAACCGAAGGAGGATGATTCTGAAGACTTGAAGGCTACAAGGAAGAAGCACGGAGATGAAGAAGTCATGTGTCGGGTCATATTCTCAATACTTTCTCCGATAGGCTCTAGATCTCTACAACTCGATGGAGTCTCCGGTGGAGATTTAGAATGCTCTTGAATACAAATACAAAACTGAGAATGAAGGTATGAACAAATTCCTCATCTTGAAAATTTCCTGGTTGATTCCAAGTCTGTTCTAGATCAAATACATGAATTGCAAGTCATTGTTACTAAGTTTTGTGAATTGAAAGTGAAAATTCTGAATCATTCTAAATGGAGGCTATTATTACTAAATTACCTCAAAGTTGGAATGTTTATAGAAAGAAACTCCTTCATAGGAGAGATGACATAACTCTAGAGGAATTACAAAAACACTTTAGGATCGAAGAGGAGATTAAGTCTCATGATCACAAAGGCAAGAATGATTCCTCTAAAGTTAATGTTGCCAAAGCAAGTAAGTTTTCAAAGAAGTTCAAGAAGCCCGGTAATGGCCAAAAGAATTTTTTTGAAAATTATTTATTTTGTGTAAAGAAAGGTCATCGCCAAAATGACTGTAGGTACAAGTAGAAAAATGAAGAAGTTAATATCAACAAAGGCAATACTATTGAAGAGAAATCTAAAGAAATTTGTGCTATGGTCTCAGAGATGCAAATTGGTATGATTACCGAAACTAATATGGCTGCAACAAAGTCCTCCGACTAGTGGTTTGATTCCGAAGCCACAATCCATGTTTGTAGTGACGAGAAGTTATTCTCATCATACAAAGTAGAAAATGAAGGACAAACAATTCTCATGGGGAATGATGACGCAACGGTGGCTGCCAAGAAAGGTGTGGTTGAGATCAACTTTACTTTCGAGAAGAACGTTACATTGAACAACGTTCTTCATGTTCCCGATATTAGAAAGAATCTTGTATCTGCTAGTCTTATGTGTAAGAATGGGCTTAAGATTATACTTGAGGGCAATAATTGTGTTGTATCTAAGAATGGACTCTTTGTGAGAAAGGGATATTCTTGTGATGACATGTACAAACTTAGTCTTGATGATAACAAAGTTATTAATTCTCTTTATATTGTTGATTCTTATGATATTTGGCATGCTCGCTTAGCACACTTAAATTTTATATCTTTAAAATATATGTCTAAACATGGTTTGATTAATTACAAAGATGTTAAAAATGATAAGTGTGAAATTTGCATACAAGCAAAGATGACTAAGAAACCCATTCCTAAATCTGAACGAAATACTCAAATATCGGTTATTATTCATATCGATATTTGTGAGTATAATAGTCTTTTGACAAGAGGGAGAAAAAGATATTTTATCACTTTTATTGATGATTGTTCTATTTACATTTATGTGTACTTACTTAGAACAAAAAATGAAACATTTGATAAATTTAAAATTTATAAGACTGAAATTGAGAACTAAAAAGATAAGAAGATTAAAATGGTTCGAAGTGATAGAAGTGGTGAATATTTCTCAAATGTGTTTGATGCCTTTTGTGAAGAGCATGGTATTATTCACCAAAAGCTAGCCCCATTTACTCCTCAACAAAACAGATTGACTAAAAAAAAAGAATAGAATTTTTATAGATATGATTAACTCTATACTTTTTAATGCTAAATTGTCTAATAATTAATGAGGGGAAGCTTTACTTGATGCATGTCATGTTCACAACAGAATTACATCTATGAAAAGACATGTTTCTCTGTATGAAGTATGGAAAGGAAAAAAACTAAACTTGATGTATTTAAGGGCGTGGGGCTGTTTAACCTTCTATAAAGTGATTGACCCTAAATCATCAAAGTTGGTGCTACAGGAATTAAAAGTGTTTTCGTAGGATCAGCTGAAAATTCCAAGCCTTGTAGATTATTAAATCTAGATTCTAATATAATTGTGGAATCAATAGATGTTGAATTCATTGAAATTAACTTAGTCTTGATTCTTCCACTAAATTAGAATCTAATGTTAATCTACCATGTGTTGATAGTTCCAGTAACTCTACTGATAACAAAAGGGAAAAGAAAAGAACTTAGCACCGGATTTTATTTCATCTCAAGCTTTAACCTTTTTGGTTGAAGGAAATAGAAATTGTGTACTTAATAAAATATCGTTGTTGCTTAATGTAGAAGAATATCCTAAGATGTTTAGTGGAGCTATGCCTTCGAGAGATGTCTCCTTTTACTGTGACGACCCTCCTATGAGGCCGTCACTGTAACTTAAATTTTAACTTGTACTTACTGGGGTTTCTTAAAATATGCGGAACATTTTTTTTTTTTTATATAAGAAGGAATACTTTCATAATTTGTAACAATAATTTCAAATAAGTGAATCACTAAATTTCTTAAAGCTTTTCTTAATTTTAGTTAAGATAAAACCTTTTAGGAATATCCTTCAAACGGAATAGCATTTGAACTCTTGTTTCAAATACTCTTTAAAAGCTTTTCTAAAACTAGTCATTTCAATCGGCCATCTCATTTGACTTTAAAACGGATTTCGTGAGAAATCTTAAATTCAAGTACATCTTAAAGTCCTTCTAAAATTACTCATTTAAATCGTCATGTTTAAAATTCATTTATTTGTTGCATGTACTGTTGCAACGTTCTAAAACTTAAATACTCAGAACTAGGGTTGTTAGCTACAACCTTGGTTTTCTTAACATACATATGTACGTATACTTTTTAAACATACATACTTGAAACCTTTGAATCATATAGACATATACATGATTTTTCTTAAACTTACGGCGGAAAATATCCCATCTCCAACATTCATCCGCCGCTCACCATTGCCTTTCAAGAATTACTGATAGGTTTCTTACCTACAGCATGAACATATCTGATTGAGCTTTCGCTCAGCAAGTAGGAACTATATCTCGCAAAATAACTGTGAGTACACATGAATAAATATGCATGAGCTGATTATGCTTAATTATGATGTCTTATCATAATTTTATTA